ACGCATGTTCACAACTGCTCACAAACAGGTGTTCTGATCCGAGGGGTTCTGACTGGTCACTGAGTGTGTACTGTATATTCTGTATGTCTTTGTGTCAATATTTATGAATGTACTGTAGGCATGTATGTATATCTTTATATACACTCACCGGTCACTTTATTAGGTAAACCTGTCCAATTGCTCATTAAGGCAAATGTGGAATCAGCCAATCACATGGCAGCAACTCAATGCCTTTAGGCATGTAGACATGACCAAGACGATCTGCTGCAGTCCAAACTGAGCACCAGAATTGGGAAGAAAGRTGATTTAAGTGACTTTGAATGTGGCATGGTTGTTGGTGCCAGACATGCTGGTCTGAGTATTTCACAAACTGCTGATCTACTGGGATTTTAACCCACAACCATCTCTAGGGTTTACAGAGAATGGTCTGAAAAAGAGAAAATATCCAGTGAGCGGCAGTTCTGTGGGAGCAAATGTCTTGTTGATACCAGAGTTCAGAGGAGAATGGCCAGACTGGTTCAAGCTGATTTCTAAATATATAAAATGTAACAAATATCAACACAACATCCAACTCTTTGTATTGTAACATCAGTTCTGTAACTTATGTCTTTAAAGTGCAAACTCATGAAAACAACAAGACTGTTTTGTCTTATTGCACAAAATAAATTCCAGCTCCATGTATTTCTACTGATGTCATTTCCCCACTAGAAAACACGTGTGTGATGGAGGTCCATGGAAGGCAAATAAGTTTAAATCAAACAAGCAAAAGAGGATGCAGTTAAAATAAATAAAAGGTTTTCAAGCTATGTTTTGAGCATCCAAAACACGTCCAACACTTCCAGATAGCAGCTTGTGCTCTTTCAGGTCAGAYGTGTTCGGACTATCGGGAAGCTCCTCTGTTGTTTTCCCTCTGTCTGTCTCTGTTTAATGGAGGATGAAATAAAGAAAGTGGTGGTACTTTATTTACTTTGAGCAAGCGAACGTCGTGCTCACAAGATAATTAATCTAGCAGATACAGTAATTCAGAGGTGGTCTGTTCGGCGAGTTTTACTCCAGGAGCTGCGCGCTGTGAGACTCGCTTTCAAGCTACTTTCTGAGCTCTGTTTACTGAACCAGCGGCTGTTGATGTCATTACGGTCTTGCGTGATGCTGCGTTCAGGACAGGCATGGAAAACTCACCACTCTTACGCCAATGCGGTCGCAATGATGCGTTTAGCTACCGAAACATGGTACCGTTTGATGTTACGTGAATAGATACCTGGGAGTACTGACAGAATTCGGTCTGTCCTTTAAAAAGTATCGAATTCAGTACCCWTCCCTACTGAACACACAACACATCGAACCTTGAGGAGGATGGGCTACAGCAGCAGACGACCACACAGGGTCCCACTCCTGTCAGCTAAGAACAGGAAACTGAGGCTACAGTTCACACAGGTTCACCAAAACTGGACAATAGAAGATTGGAAAAACRTTGMCTGGTCTGATGAGTCTGAATTTCTGCTGCAACATTCAGATGGTAGGGTCAGAATTTGGCATCAACAACATGAAAGCATGGATCCATCCTGCCTTGTATCAACGGTTCAGGCTGGAGATGGTGCAATGGTGTGCGGGATATTTTCATGACACACTTTGGGCCCATGAGTACCAATTGAGCATCGTGTCAACACCACAGCCTACCTGAGTATTATTGATGACCATGTCCATCCCATTATGACCACAGTGTACCATCTTCTGATGGCTAACTCCAGCAGGATAACGCACCATGTCATAAAGTATGAATCATCTCAGACTGGTTTCTTGAACACAACAATGAGTTCACTGTACTCAAATGGCCTCCACAGTCACCAGATCTCAATCAAGCATCTTTGGAATGTGGTGGAATGGAAGATTTGCATCATGGATGTTCAGCCGACAAATCTGCAGCGACTGCATGATGCTATCATGTCAATATGGACCAGACTCTCTGAGGAATGTTTCCAGTACATTGTTGAATCTAGGCCATGAAGGATTAAAGCAATTCTGAAAGCAAAAGGGGGTCCAACCCAGTACTAGCAAAGTGTACCTAATAAAGTAGCCAGTGAGTGTATGCAGTATATGGCTAAATAACCGGCCAATGTGGGGGTCAACAAGCTACAGAAGTCAGCAGTGTATGTAGTCTCATTACGGTGCGCAACGCTGTGTCTTCTGAATAAATGAAAATTATTTAACACAGTTGTTTATACTTTTAGCAGCTCTTTTCATTCCAC